AGGCAAAGAATTGTTGATGTAACGTCATGTTGAAAGTTTTCACATCTGCGATAAGGAACAAAATTTTCAAATTCGTGCGCGATAATAAATATATCGAAACAAACATTCAAAAGGGTTTCTGGCCAGGCTTGTCTGGTACAGTTGAACATACCGAACTGTTAAACTATTTATTAAACCACGCACGCAACAAGCAGCGGTCTATCATTGTCACTCTAATCGATCTCAAAAACGCATTTGGAGAAGTGCACCATAACCTGATAAAATCTATTTTAAAAAGTCACCACATTCCTGACGAAATCATTGGTATGATAGAAAACCTTTACACTGATTATGGTATCTCAATCTTGACGAAGAATTTTATAACCATTCTGTAGAACTGGGCGTACAGCAGGGAGACTGTTTGTCCCCCTTGCTTTTCAATTTATGCGTGAATTCACTCATTAACACGATAAATGATGAAAGGATACAGTGCCTTGGTTATGTTAATGATATATCCTTAAACCCTCGTCATTGGTTCCAATTCGCGGACGATGCTGCAATTATATCTGCACATAACGAAGACAATCAACTACTGTGTAATGCATTTAGTAAATGGTCCTCTTGGGCAGACTTATATATCCGAGTAAATAAGTGCCACACTTTTGGGATCAAAAAGTTTGGGACAAAAGCAGTCCAGTATAAACCTACTATAAAAATCTCTGGTCAACAGGTTCCCCCAATCGAGGACGGTGAAAGTTTTAGGTATTTAGGTAGACAATTCAATTTTGAAATGGATTGTACTGAGACCAAAATTGAGATCCTTGATGAAATCCAACACTACTTAAAGAAAATTGATCTTATCCCAATAAATCCATTTTCCAAAATACGCGTGGTTCAAAGTTATGTCTACTCAAAGTTCTTCTGGCGTTTTTCAATCTACCCGCTTACTATAAGCTGGATACATTCTAATATGGACTCTATAATTTCCAAATATATCCGGAAATGGCTCCAGATCCCAATCAGCGGTAACATTAGTCATCTAAACCTTCTTAAATTACAACTGGGAATTGATTTCTGTTCCCCCTCTGACATATATAATCAATGTAAACTGACAGTGCGCAGAATCTTGAGGACTTATGTCAACAGCTATATTCAACAGCTATATACCAAAACGTCATCAAAAAACATCGTCACTGATGATATTATTGAACGGGCGGCTGCTAGTATCTCTGAACAATATATGTTAAGAAACGCTGCAAAGAAGATTCTGGTAGAGAAAAACCTTAACGAAATTTGGTCAAACTTTGTAGAACTAAAAGAACAATCCGTGATCATTACCTGCTTAACTGATACTTGCTATAAGAAGATGATTAAAGTATGGCACGAAATTGTCACTCGAATGCCCAGCAATATAGTATGCTTTGCTAGGAGAGCGTTAATTTTATGTTTAGGAAATAATTATAACCTAAAGCGCTGGAACATTCGTGACTCCGCCAACTGTGAGCTGTGCAACAAGTTACAAACCCAGCTACACGTTTTTTCCAACTGCAAGGTAGCCCTAGAACAACAACGCTATACTTGGCGGCATGACTCGATTCTGATGACTATTATTCATCACTTAAAAGTCGCAGTTGGTGCAGATCTTCGACTGTTTGCGGACTGTCCTAATTCAGGTACGACTTGTACTTCAACTTTATTTCGAACGCTAAGACCAGATATAGTGGTGGATTTTAAGGGTTCTGCATATGTGGTTGAATTAACTGTTCCCTACGAAACCAATTGTACGAAGGCTAAACGTCGCAAGAAAGAAAGATACAGACATCTAAGATCTGAGCTGATCACGGCGTGTTATGCGTTTGAAGTTATTACACTTGAAGTAACCACTCTAGGGTTTGTGTCGAAAGATATTGACAGATTTCGTAGATTATTGCGAACACTTGAAATGAACGACGAACGTATTATTAAAAAATGTATGGAGGTAGCTCTGAGAGCAACATTCTACATTTACTGCAGAAGAAACAAGCCGTGGAATAACCCATACTTACTGAATTTTTATTAGCTACTATTGATACAAAGTGTAGAGAATGGACCTATCTGTCTAATATAGTGAACTGTTTCTCTATTTTCCTGATTTAATTGAAATTCTAATTATGTGATAATATTTGTATAAATTATCATGTTATTAATAAAGATTTCTGCTGTTTAAAATTATTATTATTATTATTATTGTTATTATTATTATTATTATTATGATTATTATTATTATTATTTTTATTATTATTATTATCATTATTATTATTATTACGACATCGAGCAGAGCGTTCAAACGCGTTCTGTACATGTCCACAGTTTTATCGCTGGTTTCTTACTTGAATCACATTTACATTTGTTTAAAATTAAACACAAAAGTTCCTAATCATGATTCGCTCAAGTTTTATTGCTATGTTGCTCATTTGCGTCGTGTGTTTATTCTGTGGCAAAGATTTTGTAACGCTTGGGCGACACTCATGGCGGTGTAAACAACGTATTAATCATGATCAAAGCCGCTCTGGAAACACAGAAAGAGAAATGCCTGCTTTGAGTAATCCTAACATACCTATTACACAACGAACTGTAATTAAATGTTGCTGCGGCAAAGTTTGTAAAGGCAATCGGGGTTTGAAAATGCACCAGCGTAGCTGTCAAGTCTTACATGGGCTAAACAACGAGTTGTGCGCAGATCTTGAGGAGCAAATTGCAGATAACCCTGAGAATATCATAACGGACGACCACCCACCCACAACGCAGTCAACTTTAGACAGTGAAGAAATTACTCCTGATCTAAAGAAAGGCATAAATCTTCCGAAGAAGGACTCTGATTGGGAAACGGCCAACGATTATTTTAAATTTGCAATCCCTTTTAATGGACCAATCATATCGCAAGATTTCAATTCAAGTATAAGGCATTTAAATGATACTATATATAATTACTTTGTTGATAATTTTGGAAATGTTGAGACGGCCCCCGACGAGAAACTCGTAGCAAAGTATAAAGATCATTCTATAAAGGATCTAAAGAAGGCTTTAAGCAATTTAAAGACCACAAATTCAGAGGTAGCCGAAATAAAATATGTGTCTCGTATTCTGCGCAATAAGCTTCGTAACCATGGTCACATTCAGACAGACTCCAACCGAGACAACTCGTTTAATCACGACAAATACATGGAAAGAAATTTTTGGGGTTATGTTAAAAACGTTTTAAATAAGGAAGATGCTGTGTTCCCATCCTTCAGCATGACAGAATGTGCGGTTTATTTTACTAAAACTTTAGCTGCAGTTCACCCTTGCAAACTGTTTCATATTCCAAGCTGGATTCCTAGGTTATCCGATCCGCAAGTGGAATTTGACCTTGACCCGCCTTCATACCAACAAGTTACTGCTGTTATCCGTAAAATGAAAGCATCTGGTTCTCGTTGTCCTCTCGATCAAATATCAGTCATATGCTTTAAGCGATGTCCTTACCTAAGAACTTATTTAACTGAACTAATATGCGCTGTCTGGCTTTCAGGATCTATCCCGAGTGAATGGAAAAGAGCTTGCACTATACTTATTCATAAGAAAGGCAACACGAGTATTGCCTCAAATTTCCGACCGATCACACTCGAATCTATACCGCTTAAAGTATTTACATCATGTCTGCGTAACGCAATGTAGTCCTTTCTCACCGCCAATAACTTTATAGAACATAACATACAAAAAGGCTTCACCCCAAATCTGTCTGGTACTATGGAACATACTGCGCAAATGGCTAATATAATCAACAAAGCTCGGATAAAACAACGTTCACTTGTCATCACACTACTTGACCTCAAAAACGCTTTTGGAGAAGTTCATCACAACTTAATCCAATCTGTCCTTGGCTATCATCACATCCCTAATCACATGAATAATTTAATAAAAAGCTTATACACTGATTTTAAAACTTCCGTAATTACGTCTGAGTTCCGTACCCATTTTATACCTGTTGGCCGTGGTGTATTGCAATGTGACTGTCTTAGTCCTCTACTATTTAATATGTGTTTCAACACATATATTCAGCATATCAAAGCTGAAAAGTACCGTCAGTTCGGTTTCTCCCTCCAACTTCTTAATCCAATCCACTGGTTTCATTTTCCCGATGATGCTGCGGTTATTACTGGTCAAGAGTCGGAAAATCAACATCTCCTTAATCGATTCTCTATCTGGTGTCAATGGTCCAACATGGTTGTTAGAGTTGATAAATGTAGCACATTTGGCATCAAAAAAGTTTTATCAAAATCTGCCCAGTACCTGCCGAAGCTATTGATCAATAAGGATCTCATACCAACGATTAAGACTGGAGAATCATTTGAGTATTTGGGACGACATTTCGACTTTAACATGACTAATGAAAAACATAAATCTGAAGTGATTTCCCTCATTGATGAACTAATGTCCGAAATAGATCTTAAACCTCTTCACCCAAAAAACAAAATTTTACTTTACAGTCGTTATGTTTTGTCAAAGCTATCCTGCCATTTTACTGTTGCTACGATATCTAAAACTTGGGTAGTCGAAAATATCGATTCTTCGGTGAACAAGTACATCCGAAAATGGCTGGAAGTACCTAAATCTGGAACACTAAGTAACGTTTTTCTAACCCGTAATAAGTTTGGTCTAAATATAAAATATTATTTGGCCTCAGTATTTGCCCCCCATCAGTCAAATTCATTCAGTGTCAAACAGTTCTACGCAATGCCCTGAAAACATCTCCAAACGATTCAATAAACCAACTGTGGAAGTCAACTAATAATCATACTAACATTCAATACGATAGCTACAACTCAACTAAAGAAGTTTTAAAAACTTTCCATTCTTAACAAGAAAATAAACTTAGGAACCGTTTGAAATGTCAAGGTTCCTTTTTCGAAAATGTTTCTAAATTCTCGCTATCACAACTTAACGCAATTTGGTCGGTATCGCAATCAAAGCTACCAAAGAACATTTTCAACTTTACAATTCGCTATATAAATAATACCCTTCCTACCCGAAAGAACCTCAGTAGATGGGGAATTTCATCAAGTTCTGACTGCTCGTTCTGCTTACACCCTGAATCACTTCTACACGTTGTTGCCGGTTGTCAACATTACCTGGAACGATTTACTTGGAGACACGATTGCATACTAAACTTTCTTGCTAAAACTTTTCAAAGTTTAAACGAATGCAAATTACATGTTGATCTTCCTGGATTTGAAAGCCCCTCGATTATTACGGGAGATGAATATCGTCCTGATTTACTTGTCTCCACTTCAGACAAACATCTCTACGTCGTTGAACTTACCGTAGGCTTTGAATCAAACCTCACAAACAATGTTAACCGCAAGAAAGCTAAATATAAAAACCTAATTAGAGAACTGGATCAAAACTTTACATCTGTCAAATTTATAAATCTTTCTGTCAATTCGCTAGGAGTGTTTGACAAGGAATGTCATACATTCGTAAAAATGCTAAATGAGTTAGGACTGGATAATCAACACCAACAATATTGTATCAGAAAAATTATATCTATTGCCATCCGATCAACGTACTACATATTTTGCTGTAGAAATAAAGAATGGACAAATCCCGAACTAATGAACATTTAAAGTAACTATTTCTGTAAATAAGTAGTAATTTTTGTATATAAAATTATAACCATGCACGTATAAGTGATTCAAGTAGTCAATTGTAGGTTACCTCAAGAAGTGAGATTTACAATTGTATATATCTATAAATGTTCTATTAATAAAGTTTTCATTATTATTATTATTATTATTATTATTATTAATGTTAAACACTCCCAAAAAGGTTTTTCAGTGTTCAATACAAAAGTCATAAGAAGTAATTACTTAAATTATATTCTAAAAACTATGTAATATACTTTTACTCTAAAATTTAAATATATAATATGAAGCTATTTATAATAATCTGGGGTAAAATACTTATTGTTAATACTATTTAATTTAAAATTTAATAAGTGTAATTCAGTTCTGCTCATCGAAAAATTGTTCAACCAAGTAACTTCGCAGCTCATTTTTAAAACGTTCCAAATTGAAATTATGGCCTTTTAACCATTCTGGCAAACTGTTCCATAAACAAGAAGCTCGGTAGCGAAAAGAACGTTGTCCGCTCGCTGTCCTATATAAAGGTATTTCCAATAATCCGTTAGATCTTGTGTTCAAATTATGTAATTGTGATCTTGTTTGAAGCGTACGACATAAATATGATAGGACCATACCATTAACACATTTATAAACCATTACAGTATCTCGGAATCGCAACATATAATAGACTGGTGACCAGTTACGCTGTCATTTAAGGATGGCGTGATGTGATCAAATTTTTTTGTGCCAGTGACAATACGTGCTGCGAAATTCTGAACTTTTTGCACTTTTTGCAAATAAAAACTTCTTCGATGAATTGGATCATATGGTTGAACAATAATAGAGCTTGCTAAAAACCAAGGCGTTTATTAAAAGAATTAACGTTTTCATATCAAAAACGTGCCTTGCTCTATTAATTTGACACAGGCTACCGACACAAGAGGAAACCAGTTTTGTGATGTGTTCATCGTACGTTAAACCGCTATCCAGTGTCATGCCTAGATCGGTGGCTGAAGTCACAGGAAACAGATTTTTCCCCAATAGAAAAATATGGAAATCTGCCGGTATCTGTTTCAACATATAACGAGATGCGAACGCAAGTAATTTCGTCTTATTGGGATTAATGAGCAGACTATTTAATGAACACCAAGCAGCGACTCTTCGTATAGATCTTCGTTAAGCTTAACATCCACTGAGTTCACTTCATTGACGGAAAATGACAAAAGTAGTTTCGAATCATCAACGTAAGACTTCAAAGAACCATCATTTGGTACCATCGGTAAATCGTTTAAAATTGCTGCCGCAGCGAGCTTGCCTGAAGCGACCGAGCAAAGCAGCAGACCTAAACTTTAATATGGGGGTTGAAATCTGAAGTTTAACCAAGCGCGATGCATTATGGTCGCCGGTATTTTTTACCATAATGCACTTCGGTCGGCTTCTTCTTTAATCCTTCGCGTGCGTGTGATGTTCGGTGATGATTGATGAACAAGTGTTTGCCGAGACAAGTTGTAAATTCGAAGCGCTGTGACTGGGTTTCAAAGGCGAGCCTTTATTATAAAGGTTAGTAGTAATAGACCCCACTATAGCAACGGAAGTAATTAGTATGCAAACTTAGGTGCAGGGAGTAATTAGTATGCAAAATTTGGCGTCGGAAGTAATTAGTATGACGTCACTCGCGTAAGCCTGGAGCAAATGTGACAGGTAGCGCGACCAATTAACGCGGGCAAGCCTGGGCCGAATGTGACAGGTAACGCGACCTATTAGACAGTTGCTAAGTTAACATGGTTGTCAACGTCGTTGCTATGGTCAATATTTGCATGTTGTTCAACCTACATACATATATACTGTTAAGATGACCAAGTCAGATCATAAGAAAACTTATCAAGAATACTTGAAGGAAAAAACTTTTAGAACAGTTGTAATATATTTTGCCATAAAAAAATTAATCAAATATGCGGTCGTTGTATACGTTGCTATGTGTTATATTTGCGTTGATATGCATTTAGCGACGCTTGGGTGCATGCATATATTAACGTACAACATATTTGTACACTAATCACGCGGGTGGGTCGCGCGGGCGGAAAGAGCCGGGCTTTGCAGGCAAAAGCTTACACAAGATTTTAGTTTTAAAATACATTTATTTCTTCAAAACGTTTTACAAAATTTAGTACGGTCTATTTCTAAGAGTGTAACGTCGAGGTGTTTTTGTTATTTTTAAAGAGTCGTTTGGCTTTATTGTTCATTCAGGTTTCTTTAACAAAGGTTCGGACCGTTGGCTCGTCTTCGTGCAGATTCACCCACTTCATACGACCCGTAGATTGGTTCACTATTTTGACAGGCCAATAATTTTCTCCGCGGATGTAGACACCCGGATGGCTAGGATCAAAACTATTGCGCGATGACTTATACATCTCTGTGATAACATTAGGCCGTGAGATGAGGGTCGAAAATATGCTTAGAAAACAGATTCCGTAGCACCCCTCGTGTAACTGCATAATTTTTACATGAATCTATACATTATAACTTACTTAGTTAGAATCCACTTCCCCCCAAGCGAAATAGTTGCACAAATTGAAGTATAAGCTCTTCAAAGTTCACGCTTCCTCGTGTTTCGGAATCCATGAACCGCCATTGTTGTGTTGCAAATACGCATGCGCTTGAGCACAAAACACGTAATGCGCACGCGCAGATAAGAAAAACTGATCTCAATCTAGGACTGGACAAGAAAAAATTATGAAATGTGCGAAAACAGGGCTGAAATAAAACAAGATGACATCGGAATATTTTAAAAATATATGATATTTTTATGTTCTGTGCATTTTAATGGAGTTTACAAACATTTTGAGCAATGTACCGGGTCGAGCCCTCGCCAGGAACACTTCCAAGCGAACATTACAATAATAACTTATTTAAAATATGATGTTATTTTATACTACAGCAATTGCATATCGTTTGCAAGCGAATCTGTTTTTCAGGCTTTAAATAATATCACAATCCTAAATATTCTAGAACATGCATACCGTAATTTCTCTATCCAATTTATTAGGGGAGAAGGGGGGAGGGGGGTTTAATTCTAATATATACAACTGTTTTGCACGTTTGATTCTCTTTATATATGCAACATCGGGTACTGTGATTATCAGTAAAATATCATAATTATCTTTCAAATACAATACTTTCATGTTTCACGATTTTATACATTAATTAATTGGTTGCAGGAGAAAGGGGTGGGGAGTAGGGGTGGGGGTTTGCTAAACAGAGAAATTACGATATACCATAAGGGAGTGGTCATTATTTATGGGGAGGGGGGGAGTTGGGAAATGGGGAAAATAAGGATTGAAAACTTTTTTGTCCCCCCCCCTCCAGACTGAAGGCAAACTTTTTGTGCCTCCCCCCTCATAAAAGTAGAAACTTCTCTGACCCCCCCCCCCCCCAGTGTAGATTGAAAAATTAACAGCAATGAAACAGGTGTGCATTGCAGGTAAAGTTAAATATTAGGACAATCTGTTCAATCTAGCTCATGATGTTTTACCCTGGGGCCGGTTGTTCAAAAGTGGGTTAGCGCTAACCCTGGGTTAAAAGTTTAACCTGTTGTTTTAGTTTGTGTATTTCTGCACGTCTGTTTATTTCAAAACTTCAGACAAGTAAACTCCTATACATCCAGACAAGATCTCTGAAGAAATATTTCCAAATTTATAGACAAGCTGTCAGGAAGTTTGCTTTGAATTTTAGGTTAACCTAGGGTTAAGCTAACCCAGCTTTGAACAACCGGCCCCTGGTGAACATGATTCAACCATATATGATTAAAAAATATATATTATGTGTTACTACTTTGCAATGCAACATTTGTCCTACCATAACCCTAACCCATGACCCGTCTTCATACAGCGAAATGAGATTTTAAGAACTTGTCTGGGGGGTGGGCTTCTACAAAAAGGGATCATACTATATTGAGTGTGTAGAGACGACAGATGGTTGTTGGTGACAAAAAGTTTGGTGTGGTATCGTATGTACTAGTAGGGGGGTCTGGGTGTATTCTCCCCCAGAAAATTTTTTGTATTTTTCCACCCCTAGAACTGAAATGTGAGCATTTTCTGAAACAGATTTTTGGATATACAGCGTTACATTGTGCGTTGATAGACCGAATCTGATCAGTTAAGTGTACTTGCATGGTATGTTTATGTAAATACCACAACTGGGTCACTCAGGGGGTAGAAAGCTTGTTAAACTTAGTGGGCCCAACTCCCGCGATCGCGAGGCGCTACCATGGTTGGCGCTGAGCAGTAATTTTGAAAATTTTGAGTCTCTAGATCGTTGGAAATAGCATTTTCAGAGTCTTCTTTTTTGCTATTTGTGATTATAGAAATCAGAACTCTAGACATGGTATTTAAGTTCAAAAACTTTTATGACCCCCCCTTTCTCTGTGTTAAAACTTTTTTAACCCCCCCCCCTATTTATAAGGGTAAAACTTCGTTTGCCCCCCTCCCATTTCCCAACCCCCCTCCCCATAAATAATGACCACTCCCTAAATATGACTGAGTGTTACTCGGTGCTCACAATCTCTTATTTTTCAATCCTATTTAGGAAATAGCTTAGTAGATTTTAGGAGGTATTGTTATGCAACAGCATTAATGGCGTGACGTTTGCAATCTAATTATAATAACTTGCGCATACGACACGCGCATACCAAGATAAAGGGAGTTTTGTCTTATCTATTTAGCATTAACAGCTTTAAATTTCCACAACACACTGTCCATTCTCACTCAAGTAAATTTAAATATGCTATCCAACAGCATTAAGACGCAAATCGGAACAAGACCAACAGATTACCTGACTCAGACTGAGTAGTTTTCTCTTTATCAAAACATCACTTCTCTCCAAAATGTCCAGAAACGTAGCCATGCAGGATTTTTGGTCAGGGGGGCAGCAAAAACGTAGGTGGGCTATGTTTCACTTCTTTTTATAGAATAAATTTTCTCAGGGGGCACCAAAATTTTACCAGG